AAGGAGAACGAGGATGAGGAGGAGGAGAAGAAAAACAGTAATAGCTAAAGGTCATGGTAATTGTGACGGTAACGGCAACAATTAAACATCCATACATCCTTCACTATCTTGTGGTCAGGTAAGGTGCGTCTAAAATGGAGACTGTTTCTTGTTTTTTTGTTTCTAAAAATACCTTGATAAACACAAAGTTGACTATATAAAAGGGTCAAAGCTCTTCTCTCTTTCGACAATACCTCATTTGCCTTTTGTTTGCACGAGGAACGGAGTTCGAACTGACGCGCAGAGCGTTGCACTTCTTCATAAGTTAAGCTTGTGTGAACAAACAGTGCTACAATTGCAAAACAATTTAATTTGTGAATTAAAATGAAAGTTTGTTTGGAAACTTTGAGTTTTCATTTCACGGGTTTGTCTGGGTCAGCGCCAACAGGTACTGCATACTAAATGCACATCTTAGTTGTGTGTTCTAATTTCTTCTTGTTTTCCATCTTTTTTGTCGCAAACGTAAATAATCTTGAAACTTGTTGCATTCATTTTAACCTACTCGTGGCTTAGACAATCACGAAAGAAAAAAAATCTACAATTTAACCACCATTAATTTTATGCTTTTCTCTTCGTCACTGTTAATTAGCAACTGAGACCATTTCAACTCGGAAAATTGGCAAATTGCGAATTTCAGAGCTGTAGGAGTGAGGCTGATTTAACTTTTTCCATCCTTCGCCCCTTCGATTCCTGTCAACCATTTTGTACATCCGCTGATCAGTGCATAACGCTTGGTATATACAGCTGTTTCGAGAAAGGTTGTCGGAAAATAGCACAAAAGTGCACGCGACAGTCATGTAAGGTATTATGGGTAGTTTTAAGTTCCCAGTTTCTTGACTTCGGCATTTTAGAGAAATCTGTGCGGACGAGGCATCGTGGATTTGATGTATTCACATATCTATTTATTTATTTGACTTATTAATATTTATTGATCACCCGATACCCAGATTACCTTTCTGGATTGTCGCATGCACTTTTGTGCTTTTTTCGACAACCTTTTTCGAAACAGCTATATATCGCTCATGTAATAGACTAGAATTCCACCCATCAAACGCGTATACTTTACAACCAAACTTAACGGCCAAATGAAAAAGCAAATTTCATCAAGATACTACAAAAAACTAAGAAAAGATATACAGAACAGGAGGAAGTTGCATAGGGTCATAATAATGACGGGAGAGTAAAACGCGCCAATTTGAAAGGATTCTTGCAACTGTCCCACTGTCTTCCATTGTAGCTTTCCCTGACCATGACAAGTTCGTTTCCCCCTCCCTTTACCCTGGCCGCTGGAAACCCAGAGAAAACCTCTCAGGCAAGGCTCTAGGGTCCCTCAGGGCTTCTTGAAGTTTTACAAAAATGCAAGACAAACAACGCTTATTAATATAATCTACATTATTTTAATGGCCGTATACCACATTTTGAACGAATTAAAACTGACAATGCTAATGTAATATAAATATGACCAAATATGGATTTGTAATATTTCAAACCCTTCCCCCGTTCGTTTGCTAGTCTTATGCTATTGTACAGAATACATCTGTTAACCCCATCGACGAACCAGTACAATAGGAGAATACAGTCGCAAATATCTAAGCTAATTTATTAAGCGTTTTCCCACTTATTTCTCAGCTGGCTTGGTTTTCTTTGCTCTTTTCGGGGGAATATATTGCCTACCCCTGGCAATTATGAAACGACTGAAGATTCGGTGTGGCTTTAATTTACCTGCCTATTAAGGGCGTGTTCATATGAGAGGACGTGCTGGCCGGTTACCGAGATCTCGGTGACCGGGATGAAAATTTTCCCATATGAACACTACAGCCTGGGTGACCGAGACGAAACTTTTTTGACAAAATAGCTTAGCTTTCACAACATAGCGGCCAAAATGGCATAATGTTTGCCGTGTATGTATTTCCACTCCAGAAGCATGCGAATTAACCTTATTAGTAAAGCTACAAGAGTCCACAAAGCTACGACAGTCGCGAAAGATACAAATTTGTGTTTCACAATTTTGGCTTTGTTTCTCGAATTTCATCTCGGCCGACCGGGCCGAAATTTCCCATATGAACAGACCAAAAAATTCGTCCCGGTAACCGAGTCAGCCCGGTTACCTGGCTCACATGAAGAGGCCCTTAGAAATTAACAGTTTCACTCAGACTGTTAATAGACCTCTTGACAATCTTCACATAAAAAAATTGCAAAAGTGATGATAAACTTCAGTTAAAGCCAACTTAGCTTGTCATTCTCGACTCTCTCGGTGAGAGTTTTCGAAGCATTTTCATCGAGGTCAATAAAAACAAAGGGGAAAGTTGAGAGAATTTCGAACATAAGATTAAAACAAGACTAAGCAATAGCTGTTATTACACTTATCAACGGTTTGATATACAAACGAGGCGAAAGGGTCAATTTTGCTTTGTATCGACCCTTTCGCCTCGTTTGTATGCGTTTTTAAACAGGGCTCAACTGTAATAACAGCTCTTAAAAATTTGGGAATTGTAGTTCTGCGGGACAGGGTGCGGGATTGGGGACGAGCCATGTAATGAAATTTCATAAGCCAATGGTCAAGCCCTATTAAGACGAATTACCAGAGACTCTCTTAGGAGCGGATCATATAGTTCTCGGAAAGCGATTTAACTATTATAGAAAATGATTTTGAGGGTCAACTTAAGCGATTACACTGTGTAACTTGAAGATGACTCAAGGCAACTCAGTTGTCTTAGCTGCAACTCATAGCCGGACTACATGTATTAATCGATATTAAGGTATAAATTCGGTTTCTGTTCGGCAAATCCTCTTTGCTTTTGAAAGTTGTTTTCTGGTGAAAGTAACCAAATTTATGAGAAGACTGACAGGACCTGACAGTATCATATGAAAATGTAAAACGATTTTTATATAAATTCTCGCTGCTGCAAAGAATATTCTAGGCGGACAGCGCGTCCACTCGCATTATAAGGTCAAAAGAGGGCAACACATGTTCCCATAATCTGGAAGATTTGGGCCAATCAATGTGATATGCTTTATTTAGGGTTCCAATCTCCGAATGTTACGAAACACAGGTCATAAATTTATAAATAGCGTGACTTATTCAATAGAGCGTAAATAAAAAGTCGTGACTTCCGCCATCCATGCGACATGAGAACAATAGTTACAGGATTATCATTGCGAAGTAATTGCTTCGTTAAGCGTTAACAGTTTGCGAGTGGACCAATTTAAATAAGGTAATCGTTCCGTGTCAAACAGAGAAACAGTTAAGGTTCGCTGATTAGCATTGACAGACCACGCAAAGCTTGTTAAAATGAACGAAAGCAGTCCTCAGGTAAGGCGACAAAGTCAGGCACGCCGCTACAGCCGAACTCTGTCGGATGAAAGCGGACAAGGGAGAAACGAAAATCTGCGTCGAGTGTCAGTGGACAGTTCCCAAAGCAGACAACGTCGTCTTTCGGTGGAGAGTGTGAAGAGCGAGCGCAAATACTCCCAAGATGGTGCCTCACGAAACATTTCTGTCCCTGGCGCAAGACGAATTTCAGGCGCGTCGTATTTCAGCAGTTGGAAGAAGCCGGCAGAAACAACCGTGAAAGATGACAAAAAACGATGCTTCGAGAATACATACCGTATGGAGCCAAAAATTCGTTTTCCTGAAGGAAAGGTCCGAGCAGTGATCAAAGAGGCTTTGGAGACGTTAGCTTCACACACGTATAGCGCTAATCACTCTCCGTTTGTTGCCAAATTGCTGAGCGCTCGCGTGTTGGAAAACGTTAAACAGCTAAATATTGAGCGATACAAAGTGGTTTGCCTGGTTACTATAGGATCCAAGGAGAGGCAAGGACTGAGGATAGCGAGTCGCTGTTTGTGGAATGATCAGTTTGATACGTATGTTACCGCTTGCTTTGAAGAAGAACACTTCTTTGCTGTAGGAACTGTATATGGCGTTTATTACGAGTAACAAAAGAGCCATGTTTTGGAGATAAACACCCAGGAAAAACACCCGGTGTTTTGCAATCGGTGCTGTACTATCTGTTATCAGGAAATTCAACACTGTTATCTGATGAGTTGTTTTGAGAATTCGTCTTCTTTCACTACAACGATTGACCTCAAACACAAACATCGATCTATTGTAAACTTCTCATTGCACTTTCATCCACTTTTTCCCACAAATGAATCATACGGAGTCGGGAGAATCTACCGTTCCATCCGTCACCTTGGGAACCAGCAAAACAGTTCAAAGTGAAGTAACTCGATCTTGGTAAGAAGATTGTGAAATTCAACCTTAACCTGACATTTTTTTAAAATGCTTTTATTATTCGCTTGCTTATGGTTTTTATATTGCTAGCCATGTGTTATTAAAGCGAGAATAAACATCTTTAGCTTGTATAGTTACAGGAAGATAATTGTTCGACAATGGCCGCTCACAGCAGGGCGAAGTCTGTGATAATTACTGTATAATCACTGTGCGGGCATTCAAAAGAATTATTAAACAAGGTTACGGGTTTTATCCACGTCGGCAACTTAACACCTTTGTCGATACGTTGTTATTGATCACGAACGTATTAAAAGACAACATTATTTCTAATCTGTAAACAAACATGTGTTAAGCCTGGCGTTGTCAAGGTCAGTTCATTTCGATGAGTTGAACAATTACATCGAAGTTTGATAATATTAGCGTGAGAGAAATACTCAGAAATATTTTTTTTCGTAGTCTAAGTTATTTGTTAACGATTGCTTGTTAGCCTTGGCTCTCTTTTTGGGAGTGTTAGTGTGCAATAAAAAACAAAAAACAAAAACAAAAAACTGGCACAGTGGACAAGGGAATCATCAAAATGTTTCAATTCAATTTAAGCCAAAAGCCTAAAGGCTAACCGGTCGTGTGAATAATGTATGGATGGGCGTAATCCCAAAATAAATATTTCACAAGAAATGAATATGTCAGGCAATAACCATTGTTTATTATATGGCTGATGTTTGTAGCTGATATAGCGCGCGCTCTGATTGGCTACTGGAAAGGCGGGATTTTGCCGTAGTTGCTCACGGGCATCTCGAGTTATTGTTTATGGCCCTACTAAAAAAGGACCAAAAGATAACTGGAAAATGTTACGGTTTTAACGAAAGTGCACCAGCTGAAAAAAAAAAATGAGTGGCAACAAACGCTCTGAGAGTGAATTATTATATTCCACGTTAAAACGAAGTTTAATTTGTAACATGCGACTTCGACCGATTTGTGGCCCTTAGATTCCACTAGGATAATATTTCATTCTCTCAAAATCAAATCGCAAAATTTCGGTTTTGACTTCCATTTTCAAAATGAACGAATTTTTGGACGGAATATGAAAATCATCTGGTTAAATAATGTTGAGCGCTTGGGACAAAAAAGATGGAACAGATATCCATTGAAAGCTATTGAAGCGAGAAGAATTTTAAAATTGTGAACCGAACCCGGACGTTTAACCATTCCCGCCTGAATCATCTTTAAGGAAACAATTGCCATTCGATAAACTACTTATTAACCTCGAACGTTCAGTCTTTACGGTATTGACCGAACGATGGCGAGGTCAGCACAGCAAGACCGTGGACTACTCTCGGGTAATAGGTCCTTATTATCATTATAAATGATATTTAGAACCCCTGGAGCATTTTGCATAAGCTTTTACGATATTGATCGAGACTATGCGCCAGTTAGCAAGTTTAACAAGAAGTAGCTAATAGGAAATTGACCATTAATCATCGAAACTGAAATCCTGCTGGCAGCGTGTTAGTTAAAGGCCGAGCCATGCGGACTGTACAATTCAACTTAGCATATTACAACATTCTTGCGCATTGTTGCATGCCCCACTACGTTATGCCACCCTGATTACCGTAAACTACCTCTAAACCCCCCTCTCCCCGGCTTAAAAATCTCCCCGGTTAAAGGTTAACCTTCCCGTAAACCTAAAAATACATCCAATTATAAGCCTTCCCGGTTATGAACCTTTCCTTGTTCCTTGTTTTGAATTCGTTTTATTATGATGTTAAAACCTATTTCGCTCAACATATGCAGCTATAGTTCGTTTCGAAACGGTTCTTTTACTCCGGTTATAAGCCCCTTCGTCAGTATAAGACTTATAAGCCCATCCAAAACCCCTTACGAAGTTGTATAAGCCCAGGGCGTCAGTTTATGGTATTGCATTAAAAACTGGATAGCACTGCGCAAGATCTGGTGCAATAATGTTAACCTCTTAAAACTGTTGCACGACAAAATGATCCAGCAACATCTGACGTAGTGCAACTGAGAGTGATCAAACGCATGCAACATGTTGTGCGAATTACAATGTTCCATGAGTTTAAATATAACTATTTCTTTCTCATCGGTTTAACTGGCATGCCTGAGAACTAGCTAGGTGTAGCAAAGCGCATTGTCCACTCTAAACAACAACATTTGAACATTTGAACATTTTTAAGCCGGATCTTAAACCTTTGGATTAGTAGTAAACGCCAACATTATCGTTTAGTTCTATCAAAGAGTCATGCCTCCCATGTCTTTTTTATTGTCAGCAACAACATGCGTTCGCTCATCGATGGAATGCGTCATCAATCATGACTACGTTAAGGGTTTTTTATTATTTTGAGATTACTGCGTCGCTTTTCTGCTGGTCAGTAAAGGACGAACCGTATAAAATTGAAAAACTCAAGAATTTCCAATATAACACATTTGCCAGGAGAACTATATGTTTAACTCAAATTTTTTCCACTCAGTTGATTTTGCAAGTTTCAATTTATGCAATCCTTAAAAGATTACTGACTAACTGAATCAATCCTCTTGGCTGAAGCACTACAAATTATCAGTTTTCCTGGTTAGATATAACAGCCTGATGCATTTGGGTTCCCTTGTGGACAAAAAAAATTGTCAACTGACAAGCTGAGAAAGGGACGAGAAGGCATGCTAATAGTTTATACATCTTTAGTCTGGTGTGTTGTCACAGTAAACGACGTCATATTAGTTCCCATAAGGCGCCTAAGAGAGTAATTGTGAGGCAAGGGGTTAAACTTTTCAAACTCCAGAGATCATTGAATCAAACTTACCGAGCCGTGTTAATCTATTCAAAGTCACTCTGTCAACAACATTAATAAAATTATTCTGCTCAGATTATGTTCTGCAAAACGAGACAGGATTACAGTGTACTGTTGACAACAAAACAAAAGACTTCATCCTTTAATGTAATAAGGTGCTGAACTGGTTTTAATCAAAATGGTGCTAATGTGTTTTACAAATTAATCCTTTATAACAACGTGACAACTTAGCCGTCTTTTATCTTTGAAATAATTGTATATATCTTCTCCTTACTATCAAATGAAAAAGTTCACTTGATTTTCCTAGCTAAAAGTCATTAACTTATGTTTGTCCTAAAAGGTATTTGAGTCAGATGAGGCAAAAAACTTACGTTCTAAAAGATACAATTGATTTTACTATGATACTAAGAGCTAATATCATAATGTTTTAGGCGACAATACTGTGTTTATCTGACTAGCCGTTAATTATCTCTAACGTCCATGACATGGTATCAGCTGAATACCTTAGTAGCAACAAGGTCACAGTAATTTAGAACATCAAAGTTTAGGCGAGGTCTTAAGCAAAGGTCTATAGCTAAGTGCATGTACCTGAGGGGCTGCATCACCCATTTCAAATTCAGTTACTCGAAGTATACACCATATACGATACCAATAGCAAATATATCTTCTCTCTCAAAGGAATACTGAGCATATGTATCAAACCTTGGATCCCAAACAGAACGGCTCGCCATCGTAACACTCTGACCTCGCCTCTGGCCAATGGAAACAACACTGATTATTTTATACCTGGAAAATTGCAGAGATTTAACCTGTTCCTTAATCAAGTCTGCCAGGATTTTACTCATGTGATGGCAAACATCTTGATCGTAGTTTTCCCCCATCAAGTGCTCCTCGAAGGTTTTTTTAATGATCTCTGTAACTTTCCAATGCTCAAATTTCTTGACTGGCTCTAGGCGGTAGGTATTATATAACCCTGGTTCTGGGGGACGTTCGTATCCGACGGCAATAGTTGTAGGAGGCCGCGCTACTGTCGTATGCCGTCTTCTTCGATGTCTGGGGCTTTCATCTCCTTTTCTAGACACTTGAGACGCGTTTTCCAACTCTGAATCTACGAGGGGATCACTAAACCCGCTGGAGAAAGTCGCAACTGATCGTCTTCTTCGATTTACTTCCCCCGGCTCTGAACGGTTGCTGTTATGCGACTCTGATTTCTGAACGGACTGTTCAACAGAACTGCGCGAAAACGTTGGGGTTATTGCTACAGATCGCCGTATTCCATGTTGTTCTTCTTGTCTGGGTGGTTTCATCGTTTCCAGTGGGTTTGTTGGATCGTCGAAGAACGTTACAGCAAAATCTCCTTTGTCTTGTCTTTTTCTTCGCTCCGTAAAAAGAGTCGACGAGAGTTGCTTAATCTTCAGAGCCGCGCTTCGCGCTGCTACCACAGAGTAAATTCTTGGAGGCCCCATATCCGTTATTGTATGAAAAGACATTCTGAAAAAAAACCGTATTGCACGAGCTCCCAGTCAACTGTTAGTTTCAATTTCTGGTATTCTGTAAATCACTCTCAAACGACCCTTAACACTCACTGGAAAACTTTCTGATGGAATTTTGTTTTTTTTGACGGTTTGTTGAGCGTTAATAGACCGTTGTCAACTCGCTCTGTAAGCTGCTTAATTTTCTTGTTTAATTTATTATTTTGGTCAAGACGACGCATTAACGAGATTTGCGTTTGTTTGTGGATCAACTCCAGGGTCAAACTTAGGAACCCCAGCAGTTCCTTTGATTGGGCCTATAAAGACAGTACTTCAAGCCGAGGTAAATACACTGGATTACTAAGCGAGAGCTTCCTTTTGTCTTTCTAAAAAAAGTGTTGAGGTTGTCAAGTACACGACAACAGGCACTGAATGATGGCTGTACAGGACTACACCTCTAATTAAAACGATCATGTTTCGTCTCTACAGTCGAACCTATCCACAACGGTCACCTTGTGAACAGAAGAAAGTGGCCGTTGTGGGTAGGGGTGTAACATGACACCTGTTTTCTTTCAGGGGTTCAACTAGCCTACGTAGCAAGCGTTTCCGTNAAAATGTAAAACGATTTTTATATAAATTCTCGCTGCTGCAAAGAATATTCTAGGCGGACAGCGCGTCCACTCGCATTATAAGGTCAAAAGAGGGCAACACATGTTCCCATAATCTGGAAGATTTGGGCCAATCAATGTGATATGCTTTATTTAGGGTTCCAATCTCCGAATGTTACGAAACACAGGTCATAAATTTATAAATAGCGTGACTTATTCAATAGAGCGTAAATAAAAAGTCGTGACTTCCGCCATCCATGCGACATGAGAACAATAGTTACAGGATTATCATTGCGAAGTAATTGCTTCGTTAAGCGTTAACAGTTTGCGAGTGGACCAATTTAAATAAGGTAATCGTTCCGTGTCAAACAGAGAAACAGTTAAGGTTCGCTGATTAGCATTGACAGACCACGCAAAGCTTGTTAAAATGAACGAAAGCAGTCCTCAGGTAAGGCGACAAAGTCAGGCACGCCGCTACAGCCGAACTCTGTCGGATGAAAGCGGACAAGGGAGAAACGAAAATCTGCGTCGAGTGTCAGTGGACAGTTCCCAAAGCAGACAACGTCGTCTTTCGGTGGAGAGTGTGAAGAGCGAGCGCAAATACTCCCAAGATGGTGCCTCACGAAACATTTCTGTCCCTGGCGCAAGACGAATTTCAGGCGCGTCGTATTTCAGCAGTTGGAAGAAGCCGGCAGAAACAACCGTGAAAGATGACAAAAAACGATGCTTCGAGAATACATACCGTATGGAGCCAAAAATTCGTTTTCCTGAAGGAAAGGTCCGAGCAGTGATCAAAGAGGCTTTGGAGACGTTAGCTTCACACACGTATAGCGCTAATCACTCTCCGTTTGTTGCCAAATTGCTGAGCGCTCGCGTGTTGGAAAACGTTAAACAGCTAAATATTGAGCGATACAAAGTGGTTTGCCTGGTTACTATAGGATCCAAGGAGAGGCAAGGACTGAGGATAGCGAGTCGCTGTTTGTGGAATGATCAGTTTGATACGTATGTTACCGCTTGCTTTGAAGAAGAACACTTCTTTGCTGTAGGAACTGTATATGGCGTTTATTACGAGTAACAAAAGAGCCATGTTTTGGAGATAAACACCCAGGAAAAACACCCGGTGTTTTGCAATCGGTGCTGTACTATCTGTTATCAGGAAATTCAACACTGTTATCTGATGAGTTGTTTTGAGAATTCGTCTTCTTTCACTACAACGATTGACCTCAAACACAAACATCGATCTATTGTAAACTTCTCATTGCACTTTCATCCACTTTTTCCCACAAATGAATCATACGGAGTCGGGAGAATCTACCGTTCCATCCGTCACCTTGGGAACCAGCAAAACAGTTCAAAGTGAAGTAACTCGATCTTGGTAAGAAGATTGTGAAATTCAACCTTAACCTGACATTTTTTTAAAATGCTTTTATTATTCGCTTGCTTATGGTTTTTATATTGCTAGCCATGTGTTATTAAAGCGAGAATAAACATCTTTAGCTTGTATAGTTACAGGAAGATAATTGTTCGACAATGGCCGCTCACAGCAGGGCGAAGTCTGTGATAATTACTGTATAATCACTGTGCGGGCATTCAAAAGAATTATTAAACAAGGTTACGGGTTTTATCCACGTCGGCAACTTAACACCTTTGTCGATACGTTGTTATTGATCACGAACGTATTAAAAGACAACATTATTTCTAATCTGTAAACAAACATGTGTTAAGCCTGGCGTTGTCAAGGTCAGTTCATTTCGATGAGTTGAACAATTACATCGAAGTTTGATAATATTAGCGTGAGAGAAATACTCAGAAATATTTTTTTTCGTAGTCTAAGTTATTTGTTAACGATTGCTTGTTAGCCTTGGCTCTCTTTTTGGGAGTGTTAGTGTGCAATAAAAAACAAAAAACAAAAACAAAAAACTGGCACAGTGGACAAGGGAATCATCAAAATGTTTCAATTCAATTTAAGCCAAAAGCCTAAAGGCTAACCGGTCGTGTGAATAATGTATGGATGGGCGTAATCCCAAAATAAATATTTCACAAGAAATGAATATGTCAGGCAATAACCATTGTTTATTATATGGCTGATGTTTGTAGCTGATATAGCGCGCGCTCTGATTGGCTACTGGAAAGGCGGGATTTTGCCGTAGTTGCTCACGGGCATCTCGAGTTATTGTTTATGGCCCTACTAAAAAAGGACCAAAAGATAACTGGAAAATGTTACGGTTTTAACGAAAGTGCACCAGCTGAAAAAAAAAAATGAGTGGCAACAAACGCTCTGAGAGTGAATTATTATATTCCACGTTAAAACGAAGTTTAATTTGTAACATGCGACTTCGACCGATTTGTGGCCCTTAGATTCCACTAGGATAATATTTCATTCTCTCAAAATCAAATCGCAAAATTTCGGTTTTGACTTCCATTTTCAAAATGAACGAATTTTTGGACGGAATATGAAAATCATCTGGTTAAATAATGTTGAGCGCTTGGGACAAAAAAGATGGAACAGATATCCATTGAAAGCTATTGAAGCGAGAAGAATTTTAAAATTGTGAACCGAACCCGGACGTTTAACCATTCCCGCCTGAATCATCTTTAAGGAAACAATTGCCATTCGATAAACTACTTATTAACCTCGAACGTTCAGTCTTTACGGTATTGACCGAACGATGGCGAGGTCAGCACAGCAAGACCGTGGACTACTCTCGGGTAATAGGTCCTTATTATCATTATAAATGATATTTAGAACCCCTGGAGCATTTTGCATAAGCTTTTACGATATTGATCGAGACTATGCGCCAGTTAGCAAGTTTAACAAGAAGTAGCTAATAGGAAATTGACCATTAATCATCGAAACTGAAATCCTGCTGGCAGCGTGTTAGTTAAAGGCCGAGCCATGCGGACTGTACAATTCAACTTAGCATATTACAACATTCTTGCGCATTGTTGCATGCCCCACTACGTTATGCCACCCTGATTACCGTAAACTACCTCTAAACCCCCCTCTCCCCGGCTTAAAAATCTCCCCGGTTAAAGGTTAACCTTCCCGTAAACCTAAAAATACATCCAATTATAAGCCTTCCCGGTTATGAACCTTTCCTTGTTCCTTGTTTTGAATTCGTTTTATTATGATGTTAAAACCTATTTCGCTCAACATATGCAGCTATAGTTCGTTTCGAAACGGTTCTTTTACTCCGGTTATAAGCCCCTTCGTCAGTATAAGACTTATAAGCCCATCCAAAACCCCTTACGAAGTTGTATAAGCCCAGGGCGTCAGTTTATGGTATTGCATTAAAAACTGGATAGCACTGCGCAAGATCTGGTGCAATAATGTTAACCTCTTAAAACTGTTGCACGACAAAATGATCCAGCAACATCTGACGTAGTGCAACTGAGAGTGATCAAACGCATGCAACATGTTGTGCGAATTACAATGTTCCATGAGTTTAAATATAACTATTTCTTTCTCATCGGTTTAACTGGCATGCCTGAGAACTAGCTAGGTGTAGCAAAGCGCATTGTCCACTCTAAACAACAACATTTGAACATTTGAACATTTTTAAGCCGGATCTTAAACCTTTGGATTAGTAGTAAACGCCAACATTATCGTTTAGTTCTATCAAAGAGTCATGCCTCCCATGTCTTTTTTATTGTCAGCAACAACATGCGTTCGCTCATCGATGGAATGCGTCATCAATCATGACTACGTTAAGGGTTTTTTATTATTTTGAGATTACTGCGTCGCTTTTCTGCTGGTCAGTAAAGGACGAACCGTATAAAATTGAAAAACTCAAGAATTTCCAATATAACACATTTGCCAGGAGAACTATATGTTTAACTCAAATTTTTTCCACTCAGTTGATTTTGCAAGTTTCAATTTATGCAATCCTTAAAAGATTACTGACTAACTGAATCAATCCTCTTGGCTGAAGCACTACAAATTATCAGTTTTCCTGGTTAGATATAACAGCCTGATGCATTTGGGTTCCCTTGTGGACAAAAAAAATTGTCAACTGACAAGCTGAGAAAGGGACGAGAAGGCATGCTAATAGTTTATACATCTTTAGTCTGGTGTGTTGTCACAGTAAACGACGTCATATTAGTTCCCATAAGGCGCCTAAGAGAGTAATTGTGAGGCAAGGGGTTAAACTTTTCAAACTCCAGAGATCATTGAATCAAACTTACCGAGCCGTGTTAATCTATTCAAAGTCACTCTGTCAACAACATTAATAAAATTATTCTGCTCAGATTATGTTCTGCAAAACGAGACAGGATTACAGTGTACTGTTGACAACAAAACAAAAGACTTCATCCTTTAATGTAATAAGGTGCTGAACTGGTTTTAATCAAAATGGTGCTAATGTACTTTACAAATTAATCCTTTATAACAACGTGACAACTTAGCCGTCTTTTATCTTTGAAATAATTGTATATACCTTCTCGTTACTATCAAATGAAAAAGTTCACTTGATTTTCCTAGCTAAAAGTCATTAACTTATGTTTGTTCTAAAAGGTATTTGAGTCAGATGAGGCAAAAAAACTTACGTTCTAAGATACAATTGATTTTACTATGATACTAAGAGCTAATATCATAATGTTTTAGGAGACAATACTGTGTTTATCTGACTAGCCGTTAATTATCTCTAACGTCCATGACATGGTATCAGCTGAATACCTTAGTAGCAACAAGGTCACAGTAATTTAGAACATCAAAGTTTAGGCGAGGTCTTAAGCAAAGGTCTATAGCTAAGTGCATGTACCTGAGGGGCTGCATCACCCATTTCAAATTCAGTTACTCGAAGTATACACCATATACGATACCAATAGCAAATATATCTTCTCTCTCAAAGGAATACTGAGCATATGTATCAAACCTTGGATCCCAAACAGAACGGCTCGCCATCGTAACACTCTGACCTCGCCTCTGGCCAATGGAAACAACACTGATTATTTTATACCTGGAAAATTGCAGAGATTTAACCTGTTCCTTAATCAAGTCTGCCAGGATTTTACTCATGTGATGGCAAACATCTTGATCGTAGTTTTCCCCCATCAAGTGCTCCTCGAAGGTTTTTTTAATGATCTCTGTAACTTTCCAATGCTCAAATTTCTTGACTGGCTCTAGGCGGTAGGTATTATATAACCCTGGTTCTGGGGGACGTTCGTATCCGACGGCAATAGTTGTAGGAGGCCGCGCTACTGTCGTATGCCGTCTTCTTCGATGTCTGGGGCTTTCATCTCCTTTTCTAGACACTTGAGACGCGTTTTCCAACTCTGAATCTACGAGGGGATCACTAAACCCGCTGGAGAAAGTCGCAACTGATCGTCTTCTTCGATTTACTTCCCCCGGCTCTGAACGGTTGCTGTTATGCGACTCTGATTTCTGAACGGACTGTTCAACAGAACTGCGCGAAAACGTTGGGGTTATTGCTACAGATCGCCGTATTCCATGTTGTTCTTCTTGTCTGGGTGGTTTCATCGTTTCCAGTGGGTTTGTTGGATCGTCGAAGAACGTTACAGCAAAATCTCCTTTGTCTTGTCTTTTTCTTCGCTCCGTAAAAAGAGTCGACGAGAGTTGCTTAATCTTCAGAGCCGCGCTTCGCGCTGCTACCACAGAGTAAATTCTTGGAGGCCCCATATCCGTTATTGTATGAAAAGACATTCTGAAAAAAAACCGTATTGCACGAGCTCCCAGTCAACTGTTAGTTTCAATTTCTGGTATTCTGTAAATCACTCTCAAACGACCCTTAACACTCACTGGAAAACTTTCTGATGGAATTTTGTTTTTTTTGACGGTTTGTTGAGCGTTAATAGACCGTTGTCAACTCGCTCTGTAAGCTGCTTAATTTTCTTGTTTAATTTATTATTTTGGTCAAGACGACGCATTAACGAGATTTGCGTTTGTTTGTGGATCAACTCCAGGGTCAAACTTAGGAACCCCAGCAGTTCCTTTGATTGGGCCTATAAAGACAGTACTTCAAGCCGAGGTAAATACACTGGATTACTAAGCGAGAGCTTCCTTTTGTCTTTCTAAAAAAAGTGTTGAGGTTGTCAAGTACACGACAACAGGCACTGAATGATGGCTGTACAGGACTACACCTCTAATTAAAACGATCATGTTTCGTCTCTACAGTCGAACCTATCCACAACGGTCACCTTGTGAACAGAAGAAAGTGGCCGTTGTGGGTAGGGGTGTAACATGACACCTGTTTTCTTTCAGGGGTTCAACTAGCCTACGTAGCAAGCGTTTCCGTGGGGGTTGGAAGCAAAGAAAGACGGGGGAACGGGATTTTCGGTGTTTTGTCTCCGCGGAAAATGGTCGCTCCATTTTTCGCGCTGTAATTCTTTGCTCCCGAACCCCACAGAAACGCTTGCTACGCTGGCTAGGGTGCAACATATCTTTTCTCAAAAAAAAAAACTCTTATTTTACCAATTAAATACGTCACTCCTGCGTCACACAGACAAACTATATCCATAAAACAGATATAGAGACCAACGACGCGTGCTGGGGATCAAGATTGGTAACCTTTTACGATAAAAAAATGGGGTTTTGGTATGCACTCAGAGTAAACACTATTCGTCAGTCATTGATTAACATGTGGCCGTTGTCCAGAGGTTATTTTAACAGTCGGGACGCGTTTTAGTGGCCGTTCCCGTTGTGGAGAGGTGGCCGTTATAGAGAGGTTACAAAAAGAGTGAATGTATTGACTGTCTTCCGGGACCAAAAAAAGTGGCCCGGTTGTAGAGAGGTGGCTGTTCTTGGAGGTTCGACTGTATTAACAGAATTTCATTTTATTTCAGTTTAGTTTTTTTTTAAGCTCTTATTCCTTCATTTAAAAGATTATTTACAATTTCTTGGCCTGACTAGATGTTCTCATTAAAAAACCCCTTTGTTAGTGAAATACATTTGATAATAAATCCTCTAAATCGGAAAAAGAGATGCCTTACAACAGTTTTGTTTCCATACCTCTCGCCCGCGGCCCTAACCATGCCGTTGGGAATCTGGGGAGACGACAGTCATGATGTCATTGGATTAGCACATTTACAGAAAGACTGGTCTCTTGAGAAGATGGTAATTGTTCCATTACGGCCGTCTTAATTCGTTCATTTATGACCTTATTTTTCCTTAAAATTGGCTATCCAATACATACACTCGGCACGCGGAATAAAGATAATGACTTGTAACTATTGAGTTTGTCCAATCTTGTTTTACCTGTTAGATGCTAGTGTCTGTGCTTAGCAACGACGAGTGAAGATCTGTGAAAATGAAATTGGATTATAGTTGGGCAATGAAGAAAAAAAGATCTGCAGATATAGCCTCCATGAAAACTAAGGAATACAATATTTAGGTGTTCTCATGAGAAAATGTCCCCTCATGAATTTTCTCTTGGTGGTCTTTATTCTTAGATTTTAGAATTCCAGAGTACATCCTTTAAAATCCGTCTAGTCTGTACACGAGCCAAGTGCCCCACTAGGCTGGAGCTTATCAAAGTTTCTGCAGCATGCACAAGCGACTAGAAGTACTTCTACTCGCCCCTGGATGGGATGCTAGTCCATGGCAGGGTTACCCCCCAGCATTAAATTCGCCGGTACTCATTTATACACCAGGGTGGAAAGAGGCATTGTGAGAGTAAAGTATCTTGCCCATGAACAGAACAGGAGGCCACCGCAACTCCGTAAAACCCGACTAATCCCATACCAAATGCTCGCTTCTACAAAGTCCAAGTACTGACAATGTATTCATACCACACACATATGCAAAACACTTTTCATAATATTAACCGTAGCGTGACGCATGAACTCGACGCAAACAGAGCCTAACAAAGTCAACAGTGTTTATTAAAATCTCTGCTAATAATGCGCTTCGCGGATAGGATAAAAACAGATTAATTAAAGCATGCACACGATAGTAGATCTTTTAACCCTTTTAGTAGTTTCGGTGTTATTTTATTGCCAGCTGGGAATTAATAAAGACCACAGAAGTTATACTAATCATATTTCAACACAGTAAATCTAAGAACGTTTTAAGGATCTTTATGACAGTAAGAGCACTTGTGTGTTTATAACTATGACAGGTCTATTTTCGCGAAAAACACGGTCGTCAAGGACTTTTTAAATTATAATATTTGTTCCATAAACGAAAACTTCTTGAAAGCACTTAGTTGCTCATGCCAGCAAATGTAACTTGCTTCTGCTATTATATAATGAGAAGTCCTTGAAAACTAAATTTCGTGTTTCTTACTAAACACTTTCGTGACTCTAGATTTAAATTAAAGTGCATGAGAAGTTGGCTTTGTGATCATCTGAGACGATTCAAATATTAATCTAAATATTGGGTTTTGTGAGAAACTCCTAGTTTTTCATTGTGCCGAACAGTACAAAACTAATCTTTTCACAACATGTATAATTTTAACGTTTGTGTTTTTCTTGTTAAGTATTGAAAACTGTGTGAACCAATTTGTTGATCAAATTGGAGGTTCTCTTTAATGGGACCTGTGTTATAGTTACGAAAGAAGTTAGGATTTACTGAGAGCCGTCGATCAAAGGTTCTTGTGTTCTTGTTTTTAGATGTCTTGTAATAAGGCTGTAAAACTTTAACTAAGTGGAAAGCAAAGCACTATGAGTAGAGATCACAGGAAGATTTCAAGGTCCTTCGAAGAACGTAATATCCTCGCTTCCACATCGCGAGTCTCGCAAATATCCCAGGTTGACAATGAACTAAAGCAGAAGTTACAAGCTATTAACACTTCGCACAAGTTGTCAAACAAACGAATCAAGAATGAAACTCGCGAGCTTAAGGAAATTTTACACGGTTTGCAAAGGGAGTTAAAAGTATCGAAAGGAAACTACGGTCAATATGTTCCATCTTTGATCGAGCAGCCTCAAAGGAACCCCCGGAGAACAACAGTGAGTTCTGTTCCATCTGAAGACAGGAAAGAAGTCGGTTTAGAGCGAGATTTACATGCACGCGGCGGAGAAAGAAATTCAGGTGAAGATGCTATTCCAAGGAGACGAAGTGGAAGTTATCCGCCATCTTTTCACCTGCATGATGCAAAAAAACCCAAAGACGTTTTAGATGACGAGCCCGCAGGCAAAGAGCTTGAAAAAGCAGGAGGCAAAGTTAAAGATGTTGCCGAGCAAACAAAGAGTTCACAACAGACTGGTGATTGGCAAAGTGAGCTTAACGCGCGCACACAAAACAGAACGGAGTTTCCTGAGATTGAACAAGATAAATATCCTCACAGGCGCATTACGCGAGCTGAAAATGAACAAAAACGTTTTGAGGAACGTTTTCCTAAAGAACCTCGGGATCAAGGCGAAAGAAAAAGGTCGACGAGTGATGCATTTCGTGGTAGATTTGTAATAAACTCTGACAGCTGTTACACTGATGCGAGCACAACGCGTAGAACTTCTAAAACTCAACAGAAAGGTGATAGTGGTAGAGGACGGCTAAGGACGAGCGTTGTCGAGGAGTTTTCGTTGGTTCCGAGCCCGAACGAACCGCGGAAGACGAGTCTTAGTACACCTCAGTATTCGTGGCAGAGGAAAGGCAGCATTGGAGATCGGAGAGGCAGCCCGATGGCTGGTTCACCCGGCCGGTACGATCTGCACGATGCTGAAGTGGTCTTCGATGCTCTGCCGGATTACCTCGGGGGTCGAAGATTAAGTGTTGCCCATGGCAGGACTCGGAGAATCTCCCGGGGCACCGGCCTTCCACCCTTGAGGGAGGGAGAAGTCACTCAGAAGTCGCAACAAGAAAAGTCTGGAGAAAATTGGAGCGATTTGTCCAAATGCAGATACTTAAGAAAGGAGGAGCAGGAAATTAGCATAGATGATATATTTAGCAAGGAATAGAAGAAAAAAAAAAAACGTCAAGCTTAAAGAGCCGCCTTTGGAACGACCTCAAGATACCAGTAATGGGAAGTTTATATTTATCACACAAAAAAACAACAATAACTAATATAACTACAAAAATGCATATTGAAGTTCACAAGAAAATGTGCAAAATAGCATGTATAATAGCGTCGTGTTTGAATAATCTGCCAGATCCTGTCACAAATCAACGTTCGTATCATGCCCTGATGTCAAAATAAACTTGGCGTATTTGAACAATTAACACAAGGACTAGAATATCTTCATACAGGTAATAAAGCTGACAATCAATTGATTTTACTTAGACAGAATAAAGCACTTTATCCAAATGGGTAAAGACAGTAACACTAACAATCTTAAATTGGTTTCTATAGCGACTACATGGCACGTATATGTCTTGTAAATGCTATCTACCTCTTTTCAGGGGCGATTGAAACTGTTTTGACATTCTGTGGGAACACGGAAAGAGTAGGCAAATTTCTGGAAGAATTTTCCTTCTTGAGATTAATTGTACTCCATCCACTAAAACAAATGTTTTTAATTTCGTAACCCTGTTGATCCTCTATCATTGACAGATGCTCTTAATAGAAAAACTATAAGCATATAGCCTAGTTCTTAGGTCTCAATATTTCGCCGCGGTCAATCGTTTTTGGGTCACGTGGTCCGGGGCGAGAAATTAACCAAAATCAATTGACTTTGAAGGCCTGGGAGGAACGCCGTCCAGGAACAAGGTAAATAAACATATACGAGGCATGTATAGTTACCATCGGCTTGGGTTAGGTAAACAACGAGGAAACGAAAGACATTTTTCTTATTTCAGTTTGCGTTCACTTGTTTCACTGCCAAAAAAAGGAATAAATACCTCCCTTGCCAGGAAAATTACTTACAGGCTTTTAAAAGACTATTTAGTACATCTGGAGCCACGATAAAAAACGTTAAGTTAGTTAGTGGGTCAATTTCCTTTTTTCAAAACGAATTCATCCACTGCTCCTCTACAACGTTTCTTGCCACGCTCCCAAACTACCAGTATTACCATCTCTCTATTGAAACTATAAAATATTATCCTTTATCGTCTTACAAATCGTTCTGACCAATCACAAAGGACTCAACCAATCCATTTAACCAATGAAAACTCCAAACAAATGAAGCCGACGCCAAGCGCGGTAAAATGTTGGAGCCAATCACGATCGCTTATGGTTTTAGCTGATAAAGTGGCGCGAGTCTTTTAGGAAAACAAATTCGGCACTAAAAGAGAAAACCGCTCTGTCGTGTGATATACTGCAAGTGATACGGGGGTCATTATGACGAAGTAAGTCACCAAACTGTAACCGTTTGGCAGTGTCTTCTTTGCACGGGCTAGGCGGCTCATCGTTTCAATTCGGTCAACGCGGAAACCAAACCTGCACTTCCGGTTTTCTTTGCCTCGAAGTCCGTTGCGAAAATGCGCAGAACTTGTTGTAAGAAAACACTATGAAAAGCTAAACCCAATGACAAGATTACAAGATTATAACCCTTGTGGATGACACTTGTTAAAATTGCTATCCATATTCGACGCACAAAGCTCAACTTTTCAGTCACTCTTGTACCTTTTGGCTTGAAAGTGGACGATTTCACAAAATTGAGACGTTTTTAATCAACTATGTTCGTGGAACTGTGGTGGTAAAGCTGATTACAATGGCCATAGCTCTTAGCGTTATTAAAGGAGACAACTGCAATAAGACACTATTTATCGTTGTTTCCATTTACATCAAGAAGGTGCAATCTGAGTTTATAAACTAGTTTATTACGTTTCATTCAAGCAGTGTCTGGAATCAATCCAAATTTTAAGTCACAATCTTAATACAGTTTCTAGTCTGTTCCAGCCTCCCAGGTAGTGGAGGAAACGGGCGGAGGGAGACATCCGTCCGTTTTTCCGCAAGCTGGGAGCCAGGAATTTTAACATGCGAGAGAAAACCAGCTTCTCTCACTTGGGTTGCTACACTTGTTTCGGAGATTCGGAAATTTACGCACACACGGATATCAAACTACTCACAATCGCACGCCAAAACACGCACGCACGCACGCACACTAAAACAGGTAGGGCTTGCCATAAGTTGCTCGGCAACTTTTTGGCAACTTTTCGTATTTCGAGCAACTTTTTTTGTTTCGAGCAACTTTTTGCATTCTTAGCAATTTCTAGTTTTCTAGATATCGAAGCAGCTTTTAGTGCTGTAATTGGCCATATATACTTCCATATTTTACAATGTTGCAGTAGACAACTTGTGAATTTCTTTAATTTCTTTAAATTTTTAAAATTTTGATATTGATGCGTAGTATTTACTCATACGTATTGTGAACGAATTTATCTAGCGACGCTGGTTACAACGCAAAATTGTACAAAAATGCTTACAAATGTTTCTTTTGTTGCACAGATTGCATATTTTTGCATCAGGCGTGAGAACAAATAAAAGAAGAGAGAAACAAAAAAAGTTTTGGCTTTTTTAGCAACTTTTGAGCAACTTTTTGAGAAATTTCGGGCAACTTTTAGGGAAATCTAGAGCAACTTGTGGCAAGCCCTAAAAACAGGCACATCTGGAAACATTAAGATCACTCCATCCTCAATTATATCCGATCTCAAAATTAAATTATTAAATTACCAAAGAATATCTCTCTACGTTATAAAATATCACTTTACTTAAGACTCTATTCCAATACACTGTGCTAACGCATCTACTCTACAATTCTATTCTTTAATCTGCATCAAATATGCGTTTGCGTTACTCGCACAAGAACTTTTTTTTGACTTTCAGTCGGGTAATTTTTCGGTTACTGAATACAAAGGTAGATTTTTAAGGTGACCACAGGTAACTTCTTACTGGGCGGTCAATCGTTTGAATCCCAAGCGACAAATGTTAATTCTCCTAAATGACTTCCATACAGTTCTCTCAATGTCAGTTCAAAGAATTTGGTGGTAATCAAAATAGCACAGCTAGTTGATGAATTCCCCTGTTCTCATCACTTGTCTGCTAACCAATGTACAGATACTGTACGGAGAAAATGTATTTTAATCACTTGGGAACAACAGGTTGGCCACGTTAGCTCTACCTCTGCAAACGTACACAGCAATTCTCTACTTTCTAAAATCGAGCTTGTTGATCAGACTTATAAATTAGTGTTTCATGACATTATCTTCTTTATATTTACATATGTACATTAATTTACAGATATTTACAAGACACATACGACCTCCATCCTTGCCACTTCCTTGGGAACTCTCTTCAAATTCTTGTTTAGTTACTAAGGATCGTTGATCTCAGATCTATCGAATAGCAGGATCAGCGATCGTTAATAATTAAAAAGAGAGCATTTCAGCATCGATAAAATCACGACCGTCAGTCGTCACAACTTCGTGTCATGCTCGGTTTCTTCTAACTTCGTGTCCTGTTCGGTTTCCTCCAACTTCGTGTCCACTTTGGTTCCTTCCGACTTCGTGCCATGCTCGGTTTCGTCTAACTTCGTGTCATGTTCCGTTTCCTCTAATCTCTCCTCAGAAGAATCCTTTGGTTCGCTTTTCAGATTTAAAAACGTCTTAGGCGCCTCTTCCGAATGTCTCCGCAGCTCGCACTTGAGTTCAAGTTTATTTTGAGTCTTAGTTTCATTCAAACTAACGCTACGCGCTCGTTCAACAAAGCTCTCTTGCTCCAGAACACAGCGCACTCCTTGAAAAATAGTATCATGTTTACGATGATGTCGTCCCTTCAGCTCAAAGCTGTCCTGTCTTCCGAGTGGAGCCCTCTCTTCTCTGGAAGTCTTTCTAGTACGAAAGTCCGTCTTTTTATCGTGTTTACCGAGATGGAAATGCTCTGGCGAAAGCGCGCGCCTTAACAACGGCGAGCCAGGCCTCGGCGAGGTCTGGGGCGTGATTGTAGCCAGGTGCGGTGACGCAGGGGACCCTCGCAAGGTCAAAGGAGAAGTGCTGCGAGGTTGATGTGCATGCCCGTGACCATGTGAGGGGGAGGCTGAGGTTGGCGAAGGTGTCCTGGCTAAGGGGGACACGGGGACGTGTGTTGAGGACTTTCTTCTTGGAGAACGGACCGCTCGTAACTTTGGAATAAGTCCTTGAAGTGTTCCTAAAAGACATCAATCATGAATAAGTGACATTAGTATATACCACACAAGTGAATAGTGCTTTTCGCGCGCTCTGATTGGTTAACTCGGAGGTGATTAGAAAGCACCATTCACCTCCGAGCAGCCGGCGCGAGAGATTTTAAAATTTCCGACCGCTTGTCACACATAAAATAACGTTTTGGTCCGACAATTATTCAGCTTGTATGGTATATACTAAAACAATTATTCACCTCAGTGTCGGTGAAAGTGATGGATATTTACCTCGCCCCTTATCCACCACTATTCACCTCCACTTCGGCGAACAATTGTTAATCATTCACTACTTTTCCATGCATGAAAGAGATTTCACATCTTTCTTTAAAAATGAACAGGCAAACTACAATCTCGAGTTTTTTTGCGAAGACATTTGCTCAGAAATGACAACAAGCAAAACCGTACATTATCGAGGAATATATCATGGAAGTCACAGCTTATCAAATTCCCCGATTATCAGTAATTATCAGTATTTTTAATGAGCTTGTGATCAAGTTAATGCCGATTAAGGCAATTTGCTATACCGAATTTAGAAAGTTGGCATTTCGAGTGTTGGCTCTTCGCCGGTGAAAAATGGAGGAATGCAACTTTCCCGAAAATGCAGCACAATAGTTTCTCTAGAAACTCATCGCCAGCAAGCTAAATCTTAGCAGCTCCCACCCACCTGGTCGACCTAAGCCATGAGCACAAGGCGAGCTTGGTGATGAAGCAGGGCTGCTGCTAACGGAAGACGATGACTGATCCGACGGAGCCCGAAAATCAAACGACGGCGAAACGAGTTTAGGCGAAGCAGGTCGCTGCGTCTTCGTGTCCGGCGACGACACCATTCGCTTCAGTGAGCTCGTCCGTCGAACACTACTATTCCCAGGGGAGAGTGAATGGCTTGCTCTTCGTCCAAACCGTTTCCAGAAGGGTTTAGTTTTCGGCGGTTTGTCACCCGTTTCAGGACCAGGGGAGGGGTTAGGAGAAATTGTTCCTCTTCTTCCTCGTCTGAAAGGTAGCTTCTTTCTGACCTGTTTACTCGCAGACAGCACACGTTTCCGACCTCCTCTCTTGATAGAAGTCTTGGCGAGTTCTGTAGCGCTTAGCATCACCTTTGCACCACCGCCGAGAATAAGTTCTATTACCTCTCGGTGAGTAAGTCCCACCACAGACTGCAAAGGAAATAACAACACCATCAGTCTGTGGTTTTGTGATACATCTTAGCAAAACAATGCTAAATATCACTCTGGTGACAATTAATCCAGGATTTAACAGTGAGACTTGGGCCACAAAGCGTCTATCATAATGTGAAGTTTCAAAGGATGGAAAAGTAATAAAACAGTTGAAGACCACAGCAGTAAAATCTTCAAGATCAACCACGAAGAAGTGACATAGGAATGTCACGCAACACAACTCCGGACTCTACAAGTTGGTAGAAGCGTTGTGTGACAAACCAAATAAGGCCGAAAAGAAAACTACATGTGCGTTACCCTCTTACCTCATCGTTCACGTGGGTTAACAAGTCTCCAGGCCTTAGACCTGATTCAAATGCAGCACTTCCATGATCCACATTCTACAGGGATTAAAAATTCACCTTCTTTAGAACTTTTTACTGGAAACAGAATACAGTAAAAGCCCACGCGTAGGAACCTACAATAGTTTCTTGTATTTTGGGGTATTTATTGGTAATTTAGGCTATAGGCTCTTAGCAGGTTCTTAATTCTTACACGCGGGGTTCTAATGTAACGTGCAAGCGAGCATGTCATTCAGCAAGACAGCGAACAAGCAAGAAGTGTGACTACTGACCGACACAAGATGGTGGACCTTGTAGTAGTTCGTATCGCCGAAGTACACTCGGATGGCCTGCAAGGTAAAGCCATATCCACGCGGACCTTTCTCGATTATGATTGGTGGTCGGAGGTTGAGTGACAGAGTCTTGGCTCTTCTGCGGCTCCTGGGAGAGCGTGAAGGACTCTGGGATCGGGGTGAACCCGGAGGGCTTTTTATATGATGTCGCAAAGCTCGGTATTCATCATCAGACACTGTGGAAAATAAACATGGAAATAAATTTTGTGCATGAAATACTTTATTCCGTTATAGTCCACATTTTTCAACGTTGGTTTTCGGCCGCAAGTTTGGACTTATTAAAGCTAACACACAAGGTTTGGTCTGTCTGGTTATAAGGATGTTTTATGGAATGTTTAAATTTTAGATCGCAGATTACTCAGGGTATGTAAAGCCATCTTAAAAAGTAAAGGGGTTCACTAAAAAATAATCATTCTCAATCTCAATCAAGACTTACAAGACAGTTCCAGTTTAGGTGCAGTAGACAGTCTATGCTCTCTCTCAGCCGGCAGGGAATGGGTTCGATACACCCGATACCTGTCCTCGGTCTCCACAGTAAGGCTGGCCGTGGGAGGCTTGGTCGGGCTTTCCTCGTCCGCCGATAACGATAACAGCGGGATAGGGACTGTAGCCAAGTCTGAAAAGGCTTTCTTTCGTAGTCGGACTGTGGGGGGAGTGAGGGGGGATTCCGGGCTCAGATCACGCCTCGTGGGGGATAAAGATCTGAAACAAAAAATAACAGCGGGTTGGTTGGAAACTTAGTAACGTAAGAAACTTGCCAGATGAGAAGAGAAACAAAGTCACTATCAATCTGCGCATTCGCAATCTACTTCTACTCACTCGTTTGTCGAGTTCGTTCTGCTCCGAGGCTTATCGGAATCAACACCACTATCGCTTCGTTGTCTTCGGAAATCTTCGTCGCTCTCTCGACTCTCCGAACGAAGAAGAAGTGGTTCGGTTACATCCCTCTTTCGGACAGTCATTGGGGAGCTCTCGGAACTCTGATCACTGCGCGGTGTGGTGACTTCCTCGCACGAGTCTTTGCTGTCTGTAGATGCTTTCTTCACGGTGTTGGGGGATACGGGGGATGAAGGCCCTGGGGAAGCACCCGGAGACGGCACCGGAGATGGTACCGGGGACGCACAGATACGGGAATACCGGGGGGAACATGTGGAAAAGTTACTGAACTCGCTGGAGAAGTTGTTGAATTCTTCATCATCTTCTTCGTCATCATCTGTTTCAAGCTCATGGTTGTAGCGGTCTGCACGAGCTGTAAAAATTAAGAGAGCACAGTTCAGATAGGGAATAAGTCACGATAGACATTTTAGTACTCACATTTATAAGTGAAATTATATCTTTACCACAGCAGGGGTTAACAAGGCTAAAGCCTGGGGCGGATACAGGATTTTAGAGAATTCAGAGAAGGGGGTTCGAAATGCGGACCGCCAAAGGCAGTCCCCTATGGAGGGGTGGGGTGTCCAGTAGCATCCTGCCCCGGAAAAGTTTTTGAAATTGAGATCCTCGGAAATGGGATTTCCAGCATTTAAGAGGTTCGACCGAACCCCTGCACCCCCCTAGATCTGCCCCAGCTTAGCTGAACGGAGTCATGACTTACTGTCAAAGTAGCTTGTGTCATCCTCGCCGTCCAAGACAGGTATAAACTCAGCTTTCTGTCTCAACAACGCCGTCCAGTTTAAGCCCGTGAAAAAGAGATGTTCTTTTACTTCGTGTGAACCTGGCCAGAGGACCGAACAAGAAGAGAGAAAAAAATGTAAAACACAATTAACAAACACAGCTTTTAAAGTCAAGTTTCCAAAAATTGCCCGAGCCGCGATTATCGTAAGATGTTTCTAAGCAACATGATCGTAACTGACGACGTCAAGCTGACGTGACCCCTTTCGGAAATGTTCGTGCTAGTTCGGATTGAACAAGAAGAATTGGAAAGTCTTCGGAATTTCTATGAAGATTTATCTACCACGAACAAAAGATGCAACAGATCAATGCTACGTTGGCCTCGTGGAGTGGGTTGTGATTTTCGGTCCAAAAAGTTAACGCTCATTATTGAAGACTTCTCCCTGAATATACGCTAAAAGAAAGCTTAAATTATTCTAATGGTACACCTTGCTGGACAAAGGCACATACAAGTGTGAGGTATCTTGTAGACGCAAAAATAAAGACCACAGAGGTCCACGCACCTGTAGTGCCCAGACGTCCAATGGGATCCTGCTCCAGCAATCTTGTTACCAAGTCCCTGGCGTCCTCTGGAGGTGCCTCATCTTCACTTGGCCATTCAATAACACCTTCGATGAAAACAAAAATGTTCATATATCTTTATGAGGAGTGGTAGGTTCGAGACCGCTTCGCATAACCTATTCATTCAAGCATTACTGTCATCCATTCCAAAAATTATGTACTTTAAAGCCCACCATTACGTTACAAATCTAGTTTGTTTACTCACCACTCAACGTATCAGCAAATAGCTCCTCAGGCGTATCGCCATAGAACGGGGGCACTCCAATGAGGAACTCGTATAGGATAATACCTAAAGACCACCAGTCCACAGGCTTGCCATAGCCCTGTCTGAGAATGACCTCGGGCGCCAGGTAGTCTGGGGTGCCGAACACTTGTTGGTCTGTAAACTGCTTTGTTTCCTGGGCCAGTGAGTGTTCATACATGTGAGTGGTGCCTAGATGTGAAATATGATTCAATATATAAGAAATATGAACTAAGTGGTGTAAGATTTACCAGGCGTAGATAAGGCAGTTATGGGTAAAAATAAGGTGTAATTAACTGTAAATAATCTACGACAGACGAGGGACGCGCTCTCGAACAAGATCGAAGAGGTGGTAGCAGGTTGGACTTTTACATTCTTAATTGAACGACGTTTATCTCACAAGTCGAAAAGGCTGCGAACAAGGTACTGAAGACGTCCAGAAGAAACTTGAAAAGTTAACTCGCAATGCCAATCTTCCGGCTTTTACTTCGGGCGAAACAGTAACAAATGTTTTTTTCAGTACGAATAAAGAAAACCAATTTGTGACCTCTCACGCGAAAACGTCACTAACGGATATTAGTTAAATGGTCAAAACGAACGGCTGGCGAACGGCTGACGAACGGATGAGAAACGGATGTTCCAGCTGTTCAAAACGGTTTCAAATACCGTTCGAACGGCCACGGAAAAATTTCGAACGGATGCTGTAAACGTTCGAACGGCGCTGGAAAAATTTCGAACAGATGATGCCAGCCGTTCGACCGGCACAGGAAAAATTTCAAACGGATGACGCGAGCCGTTCGAGCGGCGAACGAAAAATCTTTAACGGGTGATGCCAGCTGTTCGAACGGCTAACGAAAAATTTCGAACGGATGACGCCAGGCGTTCGAACTGCTAAAGAAACATTTGGAACATATTTTTCCAGGCGTTCCAACGGCCGAAGAAAAGGGTTCGTATTGAACGAATGGTTATGAACGGCTCTGTGGCTAAATGTGGGAGATGTTGATGTTTTGATAAAGGATATGTTTTTGCTCCCCTTTCGTAGGTCTGTAGCTGTAATTCTTATTACACACTTCTTCATTTCTACTTTCAAAACTTGACAAAACTTAGAAATGGGCACCAAAAGCTTTTAACATAATAGAACCGGCAATAATTGTTTTCCATCACGGACCCGAATCTGTCTTAGCCTGCAGAACAGGCGGATTAGCGGGCTCTAGCGCGATCCACGAGCGGGAGCGCGAAACGAAAAAATCTCGCCTCGCGCTTCGTGCTCGTTCTCGCGCTTCGCGCGCCCGCTCGTGTATCGCGCTAGAGTTTGCTAATCCGCCTGTTCTGCAGGCTAATCTAAATTTAGCTAAATTTAAATCATGTGGTGCTAAAACGAACAAAGGAGGTACAAACCTAAACATCGAGCTCAGGAGACGAAAAGCTCGAACAAATTCTAGATGCAAGAAACATAACTTTAACGACACAGACCGGGTCTCTAAGATTCTCGAAGCAGTCGGACAAAGCTAAATATGATCCGTGGTGAAAAGCCATATAACTTGACACAGTTTTAATCTAACAACGGGGCCCGGCGTCACAATATAGAATGCAAATAATCAGCATTGATGATCACCGACTTTGTCCCTCCAGAGCGAATAATTAAAGAGATACAACATACATTTCTGCAATAGAAATGAGGCACGACAAAGAACATTACTCGGCACATGGTAAATTACAGAAGAGTCAAACTCTACAAAGCGATAGATAACAGCTGAAACTATGCAGAGCTCTGACCTCTAATAGTTCAACGGCTCTACTCTACTTTTAAAAACGTCATCCTGATAACAGAACATTAAGTGCCCTTCAGAAAAAAGTAAAGAGCAAAATAAAAGGTTGAGGGGCTGGAATTTATAAGAGAACGGCAAATGTAGAAATGTCACGAGCCGTAGGAGTCCGTGTAGGCCTGTCACCCGAATCAAACACATTTTGTTTTTTCTCGCGTCTGACGTCACGTAGCATAAAGCAACCAATCAGCAAAAACCGTTCGCCAGGCGAACGGTTGGAAGAGCATAAACAATCGTGTGACTACAGGCGGATTTTTCTCGCCTCGCGCTTCGAGCGCCCGCTCGTGTATCGCGCTAGAGCCCGCTTATCCGCCTGTTCTGCAGGCTAGGCGGCTGTATAAAGTTCCTTCTGAACAGATAATCCCAGCCGTTCGAAAACCTGTTTCCCATCAGACACCGTTGGCCGATCGAACGGCTGATTAGTTTTGTGTGAACGGATAGCAGCAGCCGTTCGAACAGCTGAATACTATTTTCCCGAACGGGTGACATTAGCTGTTCGAACTACCGCAGTTTCTTTAAAGGGATAACATCAGCCGTTCGAACGGCTGCTTTTTGTTTTTTCGAACGGATAACCTGCTGTTGGAACGGATGAAGATTTTTTTCGAACGGATAACCTCACCTGTTCGACCGGATGAAGATTTTATTCGAACGGGTGACCTCAGCCGTTCGAACGGATGAATATTTTTTTTGAACGGATATCAGCAGCCGTTCAAACGACTAAAAATTTTTCTGAACGGATGATCCAATTCGTTCGAACGGCATCCCATCGATCACGAACAGATGACAAACGGATGGAAAACGGCAAGCGGACGGGTTTTTGGGCGTTGAAAGGATAGCCGTAGTGTACGTTTCCGCTTGAGAGGTCACATTTTCATCTATCGACGGCTGAACGAAGATTGTTTGGCAAACAATTTCCTCTGCTAGCCAGATAGATTTGTAAGTATTTCCTTCGAGCTTGGTTCGTGGGAAATGTCAAACTTGCATTCTCAAACTTCCACCCGTGATCAAACCCAGTCTATGGTTGCAATAAAAAAATAGTACTTACTATTCATGAGTCCAATCTTTGACAAACCAAAGTCTGTGAGTTTGATGTGACCCAAAGAAGTAATTAAAAGACTGAAAAATAAATACAATTAAACAAGTAGTGAGTAAACGTTTTAGTGTGTACAACATCACAACTTCGCAAGACAGAAATTTTGTAGTTAGGCACATGAGGAAAATCCGGTTGCTTTCACGGGCCATAAAGGTGATATTATCCAGCAGTGAATTGCATTAACTTACTTGTCAGGCTTGATATCACGGTGAATGATTCCATAACTGTGTAGGTATTCAACAGCTAGGATTGTCTCCGCTATGTACGCCCTAAAAATCAAAATGAACAAATTACAGAGAATCACTATAAACAACGTCCTTCAAGAAACTCTGGTGAAACCAAACGGAGAAATCTATTGTAAAATTATAACTTTAAAAAATCTGGATTTCTATCGCCTTGTCCAAAATATCCTCCCAAAGGATTGAGTTTTGTTCAGAATCTTTCATAGATAAACCAACGTAAATAGATCACCGTCTAATGCAATACATTAAAGAAATGCCATCTTCGAGAGTCACTTCTTAACTTCATTCCTAATTCTTTTTCACTCAGTCATGGTCCAACAAAGCGGTCGTAAATGGCAATAACAGTATAAGAAATCTTTGACTCTGAAATTAACCTTTTGTACAGCTTTTACGAATACCCACAGTCGCACAAAATTCTCTGAAAGATTTATCTCGTTTCAACCCTTGAATTTTAACTGAAAATCGGTTTTCAAAAAGTTTTATGCGCGTTGCAAATCGTGAAAAACTGCGCTTTTTTAACGCTACTACATCTCGTGAATCATAACCTAGTAAGTAATAAAGTAAGGCGAAGTACCTAGCAAGATCCATGGGTAGAGGACCGCTGTTCTTCAAAAGCGAAGCACAATCTCCTCCTTCGACATACTCCATCACCATGCACAAATGCTTCTTGGTCTCAAAACTGCACCACATTCCAACAACAAAGGGATTCTCAGCAAAAGTCAGTATGTCTCTTTCCGCAAATACTTGCTGCACCTTGAGAGGAAATTCAAGCCAAAATTAGAAAGTAACTCGGCGAAACACTTCGTAAGACGCCTTTGTTGGCTTTTACTTGAGGCTCTTTCCATCCATTTCTTGGAAAACAATTTTGTTTATCGTTAGAGTGAGAAGGAGTTTTATAATTTTAACACTGTACCTGATTTCTGTGCAGCATTAGCTGTTTATTCATCTTCTTCAAAGCAAATCTCATGTGAGTTTGCTTGTGCTTCACCAGGAAAACAGCACTGAAAGATGACCAAAACACACAATCAATTATTACATCTCTATAAAACCGTACGTTCACTAATACAAATGTAATTCAATCTCGTAATTCCTACATTCTCAAGGGTGCTTTCTCACCCATAAGCTCCATTGCTAATAAGTTTGATGTATTCAAAGTCTTCTTCAGTGGGCATCTCCCCTGCTGTGGAATTAGGACTGGAAGATTTCTGACACAAAGACAAATACATGTATTTAGAGGGATGAATATACTGCACAATATGCATAAAGTAACACATGTGTGAAAAAATAAAGAAATAAAGAAACAAACGAATAAATGAACAAACAAACGAAAGAACGAAAGAATGAATGGACGCACGAATCTACACGGGCAAACAGGCACACTACGCACGCATGCACTAATAAACGATTGAACCAGCGAACGAGCTAACGAACGAAAAAAACGAACGAACGAGAGAACGAACGAGCGAACGAACAAACGAACGAACTAACGAGGAACGAGCGAACAAGCTACCGACCAAGGGAGCGAACCAGAGAACGAACGAAGGAATAGAATCAAGATCAGATAAAAGACGAACGCTTTATATACCGATTGTGATTCAGGTTCGGGGTCCTCAGGTGAGTTCGGTCTGGGTTCTTCAGATTGAACAAGTCCAAGCTTGAGTTTAACGTAGTTAGTGATGTCAGTCTTGTCAGGAATCCTCTCCAGCTCTCTTTCTTCTTCCTCCAACTGATTATAAAAACCTTCAGGGCTAAACTCCTGGAAATCAGAACAAGAAATGAAATGTTAGCTCAGCAATCTCTACTCTTTCTGTCTGTCTGTCTGTCTGTCCATCCGTCCGTTTGTCTCTCTGTGCATCAGTCCGTCTGTCCATTTGTCTCTCAATCCGTCTGTCTGTCTGTCCGTCGGTCAGTCAGTCCATCGGTCAGACATAGGTCAGTTGGTGTGTCTATCACTTGTTAAAATGGTTGGCATACTGGACAGTGATTTGGTCTGTCATTTTGATAGAGACAACCTTTATTTCCCGAATTAATAATAACGAAATGTAAGAACTTACCAGACATTCTAGGAGACGTGCAGGCCTTGACATGATCATAAGCATCTTCCTCACAAGTTTCTTCACAGGAGAGGCATCTTGGTCTGTTTTCTGGTGTGCCTGTGAGAACCAGAAGTGTCAAATAAAGAGAATGAAAACAAGAGCACATTTCTATGTAGATACGTAAAAATATTTTTACCTCGAAGAGGAGTCTTTCCAATCTGTCAGACAAGTCATAGAAGTACAGACTTGTCAGAGCACCCTCCTGAGATTGTTTAAGGAGATCACGAGCAGCCTCGAGTACCTGTAAGAATGTTCAAAATCAATGATGAGAATAAAGCTTCTCCTGGGTTAAAAAGTTGACATGGTATACTCATTACCCATAACTCACACATATGTTGCACTGGTGACATGGTTGCCCCAGACATCACTTTTCAAAATTGCCTGACTTTTCGCTGGTAAAAATAAAATTCCTGACCAAATAAATACAAAATGTCAGATATAGTAGCAGCTTCTAGCCACCCCTTGCAACTGTCCTTTCCATCCATTCATGAAGACTGACAAGTTTTCAACAAATATTCCTACGTCATTAATCACGCTAACCCAAAATGTTTCTTCCAGTCTTAAGTATTAATTCAGCCATGTTAAACTATGTCAATTTTCCCTGACTTCTCTTTTCTTTTCTTTTCCTCCACTTTCTCTTTTCAAAATGTCAATTTTCCCTGACTCAAAATAAAAATTCCCTGACGTTTCCCTGCCCTGGATGTATTTCCCCCCTGATCATTCCCTGACCTGTGGAAACCCTACGCACCGTCCAGTGATCAGAAGGAATGCACATGTACCTGATTCCAGACAAAGTTCAAAACTCCGTCACAACTGTGGTGACTAAGAGCTCCTTCCTCCGAGTATTCTTCTATCAATTCCTAAAAAAGAAATAAAAATGTATTTTTATATGTTTGAACAAATACAGGGTTATTATTACCCACTTACTGGAGAATAAGAGATGGGAAAATTTTTCCCCACACAATTCTGGAGCTTACTAGGTTGTGCACCTCCCCCTTCTTTAGCCCCACCCCCTCAAAGGATCTTCCATTATGCACCTCCTTCTTTCTAATAGATGTTCGAAAGAGACTTCAAATATTCGACCCCCCCACAAGCCCCAACACGTACACAAAAATGATGACATTGAATTTTGCTTAAGAGTATGCAATGTCAAACTATGTGACAACTTATTGATCAGACACTACAGGGATCTACATCAAGAGCTCTATCATGCCCCCAATTCTTTTGCAGACTGTATCGACAAAATTTACTGGAATGTTGTGACATTATTCCTCACTGAAGAAACAGTACTTACACTGAGATTCTCCTCCATTTGTGTAATAGCCTGCCAAACATAACACCAATTGAGTACAACAATAGCTAATAAAATCATGAGAGCTGTACAGTGATACAACAGAAGATTGAAGACCATTAGTTTGTATAAATATATCGGCAGTTGTACATGTATGTGTGACTTGGCAACAAAGATGAATACAATTATCGATGAAAATCCATTAAATATTTTCAATAGAAAGGCAAATTTTCTAATATTAATTTCATAATAAAAACCAGCACTATGACAAACAGTGTTTCGACTGATCAGTGGTCATTTTCAAGTCCGGTAGAAGAATAAAATTACATGCACAAACTGCTAAAATATGTGTATGGAAACAATAGGCAATAAAAGTTAAAAAAGTTAATGTACAATTTTAAAGAACTTATTGACTCAAATTTTTCTAACATTAAATGTATAAAAATAATCTTACTTTAGGAAATCGTTCTCTGTAAAGGTTATTAAGTAACTGCAGTTCATCTTCTTGAATGAGAGGTGATCTGCCAGGGCTAAAACGCGATAGGATATTTTAAAACAATAGTACAAATATTCACTAACGGTCTGCATGAAGAACAGGCAGGTAGTGAAAACCAAGACAATCAGCTAGGCTAATATTTGACAAAATATCAAATGATAACTTACCTAAGGCTCCGTGACCTCTGTCGTGGTTTTGGTGACCTTCGACCTCCACTGTCATCTTCCTGATCACTATCGGCACTAAAATAGGTGTAACAAAGTAAAAAAAAAAAGTGATCACCACACTTCCATGGCAGTCACTTAAAAAATGTCTTGAAATTATTGGCATAATTGTACAAAGTATGTACTCATAAGTTATTACCTGAAATGTGCTCCATAGTTGCATTCATCACTGTAAGGTAACCCTATTTGCAACTGTCACAAAATAATTTACTTAATAAATTATATAAATTATAATTAATATATAAATAATCATACAGGTACATACACAAATACATGCATATAGTTTTGAGAACTTGGTCCTACACCACAAATAACAATTTGCACGCCTGTGGCAAGCTTGCGAGATCAAATGATTGACCAATCAGGAGACAAATTCATATAAACATGCATTAATTAGTATGTGCACAATGCAACTGAGATTAAATTCTTGTGTAGCACAATGCAAAATATATGAATTCCAACTAGGAGATGCTGAATACGAAATTACCGCAACAGCTCTTGCTAACTAAATACACATACCTGATGGAGTTTTTCTTGTGATGATGCAAGCGACTAGAGAACAACAATAATTGCAACCAGTAAATCACCATGTTCTACGTAAATACAAATTTCCTTGAATTTCATGTTAGAACTACAATCATACAGGTTAAAAACAAAACAAAACAAAACAAAACAAATAAATGAAACAAACATAATAATTTGTGATGCTTACAGAATATGATGATGAGCAAGGAGTGTGTGTTCCATATCCTGATGATGAAGTAAGGGATGCTACTGACCAACGTCTTCCACCAACATCCGCTCTGTAAAAGATAAAAATTACTCATTTAGAGTCAACAATGTTGCAGAACCTTGATGGACTGCAGAGCCAAGTCAACAGGTGACTTTTACATGCATAGATCTCCTGATATAATTACACTCTATATGTAGAAAATAAAGATCTGGATAAAAATGCTTAACAATATCTTAAGCCCTAATGGCTCTCAAACTACGTGCAACATCTAACACTCACTTCCTAACATTTGAAAAGGCAAAATGTGCTCCAGCAGTTGTGTTATTTGACGAGGTGTAGAAACTAGGACTACCAACTGGACTGTCAGACCCTGCGGAACAAAACAAGTTTTCAAACACTATTTCGTATCTTTATTGCTGTAGATGGGAATGTAGGCCTACGTAGATTGGCAGGCCAGGGTGTTACTAGGGTCTTCCCAAGATCAGCTATCATCTTGAAAGGAAAACTAAGAACTTGGACATGTTCATGTATGTAAATGAATTACTCACCTTGTGAATATGGCGAGGAAAACGGTGAGTACGGTCGACCCGAGTGTGCTGAGGGCATGGAGCTCGTTGTTGTGAAACTTCTTCCAGTTTTGCGTGTTCCAGGGGAGAAAGAACTTGAAAAAGAAAACATACAAACATTAACTTTATACACTGTAAGTTGAAACAGACAATAAACATAATAATATTATGTAGTATTTAACAGCAAGCTTGGTACCTGTTACACTGTATGTGTATATGCTTACAAATTTTGTAAATGAAAGCAAACAAACAAGCAAACAAAACATAAAAAGCACTGAACACCTACAAGAAACCAAATCAAACTGTGTGAGGCATCAAAATTAGTAAAATGTTGAACCTGGTAGCACAACAGTGTGGGAAATGAAATCAGAGCTTTCTGTTATGACAGAATCTTGACTGTATTTTCACCTTGTATACTACTGGTTAAAATCTTGCTTTTGACCACTCTAAATGGCACAAATGGGCTGAAACTATTAAATATACCTTAAATCCAGTTGAACTCACAAGACCCACAAGAAACATTTTCAACTTAAAACTGCATCATTAATACAATAGTCCTAGCTTCTCCTATTTTGTACATGAAGTACAATATATGATGACACAGACACTTCTGTTTCATCAACATACATGTACTGTAGATAAATAACTTTACAATTTGGAATCATGCAAAACATGCTGAGCCTTGAAAAGATGGCAATTCGGAATAAGACTTTTTAAAATCTGCATTGAATTCCTCATCAATTTTAGCCTGTGAATTACCTATTGAGGGGACTTGAAAACATCTCTGACTTTAAATAAATCAACCACTAATAAATATTGCATTACACTGGAATTGCCTCTTAAAAGAATCACTAAATCCACTAACAGCCTCTAATGAATAATACCAAAATTAAATCTTATCTGACTAGAAAATTTTAAAGTGAATCACAATTTAAAATGAGCAAAAATTGAAACATGAAGAAAAGTAAAAAGCAGCAAGCTTCATTTGACTGATACTGTGCTTAAAGAAGGCCAGTGACGCTGATCTACTTTATTATTTTTAAATCAAATTACAACTCAGTTAATCCTACAAATTTACTGCATATAATTATTAAATTAAGCCTTAAGTTATGATTGTGTAGTCCACTTGCAATCTGAAGAGTCTAACCGAAAATAAGTTCAGTAGAGATAACAACCTTTCCGAGAACCCTACAAGGATAAAAAAGTGTTTTAAGGCCTTTGAACAGATCAGGCTGCCAAATTTAAAGGTGAGTGCACTTAGTGTAGAATCATGAGATAAAATGTACACAAAGAAAATTGTAGGAAGAAAGGAGACATACAACTGTACATGTAGACACAAAGTCTGGTATGTGGACAGTTTCATTGTTGTCTTATCAAAGGAAATTCATAATGATAATTAAAAATAAGACCAACTAAACTATTTTCAGGTTGAATAGTTCTTTAGACACAAGCAGTAAAATACAGATCTATACACTTAAGAGTTGTATCAAAAGAAAATGCAAAGACACTGACTCTTGATAGTAATTGAGGGGAAAAAATGGAAACCAATTTAGCTGCTTTTCAACCTAAATTTCATGATTTACCATGCAAGTGCCAGGCAAGACTATATGCACATGTAAAATAAATATAATTACATGTTGTGATGCAATAATGCCCTTTGCACAATTTTTAGTATTTTTCTTTGTTTCATTTACATAATTTTAATATATTACCATATAGCAAAACAAAAGAAAAATACCAAATTCTACCAAGGGTGAAATTGAACCACAACATACACAAATATTTATATTTTTCCTATGGAATACTTTGTAAAAACTTGCTCAGAGCTACATGAAAGCATTTCAGTCACAGTAAATAAAAACAAAGTTATAATCAGCATTACATCAAACACATAATCATTATACAATAAAGAATATTTCCTACGACCCGAGACACATGTAAAAGTCTCTTCAGGAACTTAACTTGAACATTGTACTTCAGTTTCATTTTCAAGTTTGTCACTCAATAAATGACTTATAAAAGAAGATTTCTGGCCTGTATTCCAGAAAGAATAGAAATAAAAGAGCAGCTGAAAAGACATTTTGGCATGATCACAAATTTTAGTGAACTTGTACAATAGTTTGAAGCATGTAGCTCTTCATAGACACTGAACAAAGCATTAGCTGCACATGCATGTAATATAAAATTTCATGCTGGAAAGAATAGAGTTCTGACAATAACAAGAAGTAAAGCTTCCAATGTACAGAGTACGTGCAGGACAGCTTGTTTAGATAACAATGAATTAAATTACTAAATAACTCAATGGCAAGACCAGCAGGATGTCTGTCATAGTTTAAAGTATATAATTATTGTCTAAAAAAATTGACAAGCTTTGGTGAGAGCTACTGGATGAATGGACAACTGAAGAAAAATAATTGTCAGGTTTTCAATGCATCTGTTTTCAGTCCTTTCATTCCAAAATGCTGAGAGAAAATTAAATAAATATATCTCAGTTTATGAATTGTAAGTTATACTTTAGAACCTGTGGAACCAACCTTCTGACAATGTCCTCCCTCATGTTGAAATTAAATTTTGACAAAATACACTGTAAGGCATCAATGACAAGTAGATATGGTGTACATTGCAAACAACACAAAGGTACCAAAAGGTGGCTTTTTCAAGAAAGCATTACCTAAAGGGATATATTGAAAATCTCTCCACAAAATATTCCTTTTAGCAGCTTGTTATTATCTGACAGACGGCTGTTTCATTTCAATAACAATTAACATATGACACTAAAGCTGTCCAGAGATAAAAGGTTCATTATATGGGAGAATAAAATTATCTCATTTGAAAAGCTCTGAATGACGCAAAGTGCAAGTTTGCAAAACACCTTGAGATGCAAATTGGAAACAATTGATATTGCCATATTGAAAAGGAATACATAAACCTGAAAGATAATGAGTTTGCTACATATATATATAGATATATATATAATTTCAAAATGTTATTAAATAAGCCAAGAAACTTAAAAGTGAAATATATAGGAAACAGATGAGGCAATTCCTCAAAAAAGTATTTGAGAGTACTTTTAACTTTGATTTTTGTCACATTTTCTAATTGAAAAGTATTTGAGACAAATTTGCAGTCTATAATTATGTCTATTCACATGTATCTTTAGTTATATTTTTTTGTTTTGGAGATTTGAAAATATCCTGGTTTGAATAGTATTATATATCATTGTTATTTGCCTTTGCTTCAATGTATGAAATTGAATAGGAAACAAAATAAAGGAAAATACAAATAAAACTGGTGTGAAGAATTTTGAACCAAAAACACGAAACACTATAATATGTCACATATATAACTATTTATAACAGGAGGGAAATTTGTTATCACACACATCATTTCCTCATAGCAGGAAGCTTTTAGAAGATACATGTATTCAATTATAACACCTAGTCATTTAACTTTTGATACATTTAAGAATCAAACTTTCCTAAGGTTCTGAACAAACTACAGGTACTAACAAATAAGACTTTGAAAGTGCTAAAAAACTATGAATGTCTGTAAATGATATATATTATATAATTGTTACAAAAATTATGTTAACAATACGACACAAAATCGTACATACCAGTATGTACGAAAACGTGCTCATGTTGCAAGACAATGGATTATTATGTTAAGTTTTTTAAAAAAAGACTGCTTATCCAGATGAGCTTGAAAGAAATGTGTCTTTTCTTTTATTATAATTGTTATAATTTAATTACCAGTTGAAAATTAGTAACAAAATTCATGGAATACCTTGGTCTCCGGCTGATGTCATTCTGAAAATGAACAAAGTAAATAGCATTATTCATTTGATGAAAATTCTTGGGCACAAGAAATAACATGTAACAATGTACTTGCCAGCTGGTCAGAGGCAAGGTTTAAAACTGTGATCAACCCCTGACTTCTCTATACATTTTAAAAACAAATTCAATTCAACATACTATGAGAATTGACTACCTGATAGATCTCTAAAAAATTTGACATATTTTCTATTGCAGTGGCTTATGAAAAACTAATAAAATGTGAAAAACTGTGACAGGATTATTGACCAATAATATTATATTCATTTGATACCACTGTGATTGAACTAAAAGGTTAATAAACAAACAAAAAACAAAAAGACAAGACAAATGCGGAGTGGAAAAAGTATTATACTGGTTGAATTTCCAATTTGGTAAGAAGAACTTAAAACGTTTACATGTACAGGGTGTAATATAAGTTTTCCATGGTGTGTGCATTTCTTTTTTCATTTCCTGTGGTGTCGGATTCACATTCCAGTAAAAGCTCTCTCTACAGGTTTTCTTTTGTAAACCTCAGGAGATAAAATATTTTTATTATTCTTTATAGATCTGGAATTATACCATCTACATTCATAAGTAGAATTCTAGAGAATGCACAAAACATGAAATATTAAACATTTAATCACTTTTTTTTTTAAATGGGATACTTATCATCTTCAAATTTGAAAGTGAAAAATTAAATTGTCAAAATTCCAAAGTGACCTTCAGTTTTTACAATAGTGAAATAGTTCATCATCTCTAAAATACACAATTCTACATGCATGAAAGCGAAAAACAATTATGATATTGTCAAATCTGTTTCTTCGAGTGCTCAAAACATCAAGGATAGATTTCCCATTAGCAATTTTTGTCAGCCACAGGAGCAAAAATTGCTTCACAAAATAGCTAGGGAGGTTCAGTCATCTCAAGCTTCGAGGAATCTAGATTCCACAGTCGATCGTGATTTCAATGCCTGGCTGAATGCATAGAAAACTAGAAATCAACATATGGAATCATCAGTTATTAAATAAATACAGTCTACTTACACAGCTGCCTGTGAGATTAGGCTCGGAACTACCCAATGAAGGATTTGCTCTCATACGTAACAAATTAGAAGTCTCATCAAGCCTCGCTGATGGAAAACCAATGCTCTCTCTTCTCCTAGATCTTGCATCTGCATTAAACTCGTCACAGAATCTTGAACGGTTTAGCTTGAAATTCCGTGGCAAAGAGGCAAAGACTTCTGAATTGAACTCTGCACTATTGTCAAGCTCTGAGTCAGACTAAAATTTAAAAAAATAATAATAATTCACAGTGAATTTCATTGTCTATGTTACTTACACCAATGACAGCTATAATTCAAAATTAACTTACAAGTGCAATTTCATTAATTAAAATTGAGTTACTTGTTTATTAAATACATAGCAAGAAACTCAAGAAAATAACTGACTTTTAACAAAAGACATACTATTAACATAACAGCTAGGTATACATACAGTACTGTCAGGTGTTCAAGAATAAACTGCCTTTTAATTCTCTGCTTAAAATTGCAATTCCCTTTACTTATGTCAGGGATTACAAATTTTCCTTTCCCTTCGTGGTTCCTTTGACCCCTTCTTCACAAATTAGATGCAGTCATTTTTGAAAGTGTGAGTTTGAGGAAGGTGGGTGCTTTATGCCACCATTACAAGAAGTATGTCATCATGGGAGAAGGAGAACCGTGGACTAAAATGATTTACATTCAAACATGGCTGCTGAGCCGAACATGGTTGACAAACAGCAATGGGCGAACTCCATTTACACTGTAACAGAGAAATGTTGTTACAACATTGTCTGTACCTTTGATTTTGTACTGTTTCATTAAAATTCTGCTGAACATTTCTGGACTCTACACTAGAGTCAAAGTGACTCCCTGTAGGAATTCTGTGGAGTCACAGTTAAATTGGTGCAAGAAATACACTTTCCACTTTATTGATCATCTGTTTTTTGTCTCATTTTCTTCACCACATAATCACAGCTGTACAATGACCGAAAATGAAGTTTTTGGAATTATTCTTCCTTTGGCCATACATGAACATGTACTGGTACATTCAAATGTGTGAGAATTGAAAACATTTTGGTTGTATTTCCTCTTCCTCAGCACATTTTAATATTTATAAAAACTCATAGCAGAAATCATCTCTTAAAATAGTTTTCCAACTGGCTTTTAATTATAATTAAATGTATAATTTGCTCTGTCATTAAACTTTCAAACTTAAGTCTGGGATTTGAATGCCATAAAAAATGATGTTTCCAATGTCATACATGTATGTATGTATGTCAAGTAACAGGCCCATGCTTGAAGCTACCCATTAATAACCTCCCAAGCTGAAGGTTGACAAATTGGGTGGTCACCCACCTGAAGAAATTATATTTTGCTTCAAACAGGAAACATACAGTTTTCTTTGCATGCTTGCTATTGAAAAAGAACTCTGCTGTTATATAAGAATCTAAAGGATCGGTCAGGAAAAATGTACATGAATCATCAAAATTCAATCAAACCAACTTCCTAGAGTATTTGTTGGTAGCAAGTGAAAAGACACATTTCTGAAATAAATTTCTCATTGATTTATGAGATCCATGACCTTTGGGTTCTTAATTGTTTGTTTAATAAAAAAACAAAAAAACAAAAAAACAAAAAAAACAAACAAAACAGGAGAAATGTTAAAAGCAGTCAGCATACAAAACAAACTTATATGTGCTACATATAGTGCATAGAAAATCAGTGATGATCTGAGAATGTTTATTGTGTTGAAATTCACACAACAATTGGCAAAACTAAAAGTTATATTTTGGTAAGAACTACACCATCATCAGACTAGAACATGCACACAAGGTAGCTCTTAAATATAGTGTTTATAACAATGAAAAATGAAACAGAAAGTCATACTTATGAGAAAAGGCAAAGTTCTCTGCTGGATTTGAGTCACATGTCATGTCATGACCAAATATCATCCCATACTAGAATACCACATGTACGTAGATTTACTTGAATGTATGTTTACCACAAAAACAGTCGTAAACAAAATATGTTAGTAATGCTACATGCACATATTTCGTCCAGAACCAACACACGTGCCTTACGCGTATCTTCACATTTGATTTCAAGATATTAATCACCAGCTAAAAATATCCTAGTTAAAGGATCAAAAACAACTTCATGTACAT